GGACCTAGACGGACAGGCGGACGATGTCCCTGATGCCCGCAGCGCGCTCCGCGACCTTGAAGGTTTCCTCGATCTCGCGCACCTGTCCCGCAAGGATCGCCCGCTGCTCCTCGGTGGCATCCACCCGTTGAGCGCATGTTTGTACTTCAGTTCATCATGTGCCCAGCTTGCTGTCCATCTTGGTGGCGTGATCGGCGACGACGTCTCTGAAAATCCCATGTGGCGGCCAGACAGGCCGACTCGAAATGGGCAGCAGTGCTTCCCAAGATGTCCGCGAGGGCGCTGCGGATGTCTTCAGAACAAGAAGTCGGCACACGGTCGACTGATTCCTGGATCCGGTCACCGAGGGGGGGGGCCCGGATGGCTGGCCAGCTGCGCCAGGGCAAGCCCCAGAGGCAGCAGCAGCAAAATGGCCATCAGCACCTGTCACGGCGGATGCGCCACCTTCCGAGCCAGCGGCATCTGCAGCTGTGGGCTGGCGGATGCGTAGGCTTCCTGGACGCCCTTGCGCACCTCGGGCACCTCGGGCACCGCCCGGTTCCTCATCAGGTTTGCGCCGCTGGGCGCCCGACCATGAGCGGCGGACAGGCCGCGCGAGCGAGGCCGGCGGCTGCGACGCCGAGGCCGGGGCCGCTGCCGCTGCCGGCGCCATGGCGCGGGCAGCCCGCGGACCAACGGGCTCTTGGAGTGGCTCGCGCCGAGCAGTGCGCCAGCGGCGCGCGGGCGGCCACGCGCTCGAGCGAATGGAAGTTGGGTGGCGCGTCCCAGACGCGGGCCGCAAGCGGCCGAGCTTCTAAGCACGTGAATGCGGATGCTCGCGCCCCGCGAGAACTCCGAGGGGGGACGCCGAACAAGAGCCCGAATGGCTACGGATGGCGAGGCGGAGGATGGGGGGGGGGAGGAGGAGGGGGAAGAGGAGAGGGAGGAAGGGGGAGGAGGACGCGCACGGCCTGCAGGCAGACGGTCTCGCCGCCCCGGCCCACTTGCCGCGCGCAGGCACGGGGCCTCGGCGACGAGGAAACCCGACGCCGCGTGAGTGCGACGCACCTAGCACCCCGCAGCGCGGGGTCCTAAACGGCCGCACTCGCCCCCAGGCCCTCGGGCCTGGCGGCGCCCCAGGAACGGGCCCCGCGGAGACCTCCAGGGGCCCCGCGCCGCCGGGGTCCGATGCGAATCCAGCAGCCCGCCCAGGCTCGGCCCCACGGGGGCCCCCTGGGACGGGCGCGCGCTCGCCCGCGGCGCCGCTCGCCCCGCAGCGGCGCAGCCGCGGCGGTAGGCGCGAGGAGCGACGCGACCGCGCCTCGCACTGCCTCCTCGGTCGCCGCTTCGGCGCCCGCCGCCTCCGCCTCGCCCCCGCCTGCATGTCGGTGAGACCGCGGCAGGGGCCCCTGGCGGCGCCGCACTGGCAGCCCGCCCGCCCCTCTGGGGCTGCGGCCGCCCCCCAGACCCTCTCGGTCTGTTGCCCCCCATGGGGCCTCACCCGCCCCAGGGGTCAAGGGGCGCGCCGCCGCCCCTTCCTCAGCGCCCGCCGCGTCCAGCCCGCTCGCAGCCGAGGCCATGCCAACCGCCTCCGCCGCCGCGACATCGCCGCCGCCCTCCGCGAGGTCGCGCACCTCGACGGCCGGCCACTCTGCTGGACATCTTGGGCGCCAGCTTGCCCTCCAGCCTCGCCTGCGCCGCCTTGCCCGCTGGCGTCGGCGGCTCGCAGCGCCCGGCGAAGCTGCTGGCCCGCGCATCGCCAGTAGCCCCGCAGCAGAGGCACGCCACCAGGGGCATCTTCCTCTCCAGCTGCGCGCCCACCTGCGGCTCGATCCTCGCGAGCCGATGGGCCAGTGCACCTCGGGCCGCCAGCGCCCCGTTCGCCCTCGTCGCAGCCTCCAGGGTGGAGCCTGGGCGTTCGCCTTGCCGGCTCTGCCACCTGCAGTGCGCGCGCCGCTGCTTGCCAGGAACTCCGCGCAGGTCGTGCGTGTTGCTGGCGTCCGTCTTCTTCGCCGCCCGGCCTTCCACTGCACGCTGTGGCTTCGCCTTCCTGCGGCGCGCGCCACTGCCCTGGACACAGCTGTCCACGGTACTGCACCACATCGCGACCCCGTCCACGAGGCTACGTTCGGCCTGCAGCTCGGCGCGACCCGCAGCCGCAAACCTCCTGGCCTCCGCTGCTGACATGGCTGCCTCGCCCGCGCATTTGTTGCCCAGCCAGTCGCGGTAGGTGATCGCTCCATCCCGCACCCGCCAGTGTGACTGATGTGCTCGCACCCACCGCGCCCGCGCCCCAGCCTCTCCAGCGCCTCCGAGGTCGTCGATGAGGTCCTAGACCGCGCGCCACAGGTGTGCCCACGCGTGGCAGTAGCAGGAAGCGCCTGTACGACCAGCCTTCATGACCCCGTTGCGCACGTACTTGGAGTCCACGACCGCCAGGATGGGAGCCATCCCGAAGCGCCGGCCATGAGCTCACTGCCGTTGATGTCCAAATACGGCTCGCACAACTGACCCGCGACCGACATGTGGCACTCATCGCCGCCAGGCTCCAGCGCCACCAGGCTCCAACCCACGGGCGCGTAGCCGTCGAACTTCACCTCGAAGGCCGACCCGTCCGGGTAGGTCCCCCCTGGCGGCACGACCCCATCGCGCTGTCCACGCCAGCAGATGCTGCTAGAAGGCGTGGGCCTGCTGAGGCCCGACTGCGCTGGCCACGGGCACCTCTCCTTCAGCAGCGCCACCTCCTGCATGAAACCGCAGCCGGCATTGTCAGCACCTCCTTCCAAGCGTCGCAGTCGCAATGCCTGTGCAACAACGTGCCTTTCGTCCCACATTGGAGACGCGCGTCCGAGGCCACAATGCCTGTGTCCGCTTTCCTCGCCTGCGGCCACTGTCCGTCGGTGACCAGCGAAGCCACGTAGCCCTTCTCCTACGCGGTGAGCCCCCCCCTACTGCTGACTCTCTGCCCTGGCTCTCTCTGCTCGCGCACGCTGCTGGCGATGCCCGACGCCGTGGGCCGCGCCAGCGGCTCGAGGACCCCGCCACTGGCTAGGCGCTCGCAACCTGGCGTGGTGGCCACCTGCTGCCACTGCCACTGCCACAGCTCGATGGCCCTCAGCAGCAGCTTCGTGACGACCCATGGGGGCTGCGTCGTAGGGCCTCAGGATCGGCCCTTCGTGGCACCTCCACCGCTCGTGGTCCGCGCGCCTCAACGTCGCCACAACAGCCGACATCGGGCCTTGGACGTGCGCCCACTTCGTGGCCCTGTCGTCGCACAGGCAGAAGTCCATCATGTGAGACGGGATCCAATATTCCCATCTCGCTCGGAGCAGCATCATCATGGGCGCCAGCGTCGCGTGGATGACGGGGTCCAGGCCAGGCTGCAGCGTCTGGGAGAGCGCGCGCGACCTACCAGCCGTGCTGGGGCCGCCACGCAAAAGGCCAAGCTCCTAGCCTTGTCCAGCTCGCCCTTCGCCATGCCTGACACCGCCACTCCATGCGCGACGCTGGGTTGCAGCCCTGTCTTGGCGACCCTGCTGGCCGCCCCCCTCTTCACCTTGCCCTTCTTGCGCACTCCGAATCTCCTCAATCTCTGCTGCGCCACCTGCAGCCGCTGCCCTCTCACTGCTCTGCCTATCCTCTTGCCGCCGCTGAAGTCGAGGCCCAGGTTCAGCTCCTGCTCGACATCGATCACGCCCAGCTGCCTCCTCATGCGCTGCGCCAATGTTGCCCGCGCCGTCGGATGATTTGCCAGGGTTCGCGACTTCTCCGTCGCGACCTGCAGGTCAGCCTCGTCCAGCAACGTCTTGAGCCTGAAGACTGCATCTCCTACCTCACGCACTGTCCTCACCAAGCTGCCTGTCCTCTTCACGATGATGCCGTCAACCACGACCGTGAGCCCCAGTGTTGGATGCGCCACGCGTAGCCTGTCCAGCGAGACCAAGAGCAGCATCTTGAGCATCAGCGTGGCGAGTCCGCTCCCAGGCAAAACCGCTCCATCCACCTGAAGCCCGCCGCCCACGCCCACGCCGAGAGCCAACCGTCGGGGCGAGCGGTACAGGTCGATCTGCAGCTTCAATTGCCACAGCGGGAAACCAGTCCTGACCGCTGCCTCGACGAGGTGGTGGTGCCGTACTTGTTCGTGCGCCTTCAGCATGTCGAGCACCGGGAGCACCGACGCCCACGCTTCAGGGTCTCGCTGCTGGCGCCCTGTGGCCGTCGCCCACTCGCACTCCGCCGCCTGCTGCCGCACGGCCCGTTCACAGCCACGGCCTCGGGCGGCCCAGAAGAGGGGCCTGTCGTTGCGCCTCCCCCGATCCAGCGCGATGGCCCTCCTGAGGCGAGCCTGCACCCTCGCCAACACCATGATGATCGCGGTCGGCCGTACTCCTCCTAGCCGCTTCGCAAGGAAGCACACCTTGGTGGTGAAGCTGGTGATGAATCCGATTCATGGAGCGCACATGCGAGCTACTGCAAGCGTTCCCAAAGCGCTCCCGCACCAGCAAGAGGAGAGACTTCCTGCCGGCACGCGCAAGTAGGGCATTCTCTGAGTCGCGGCAAGAGCAGGATCATTCAACATCGAATCGCAAGGCTAGATCGAATCGAAATGTGCGTCGACTCCGTACGTATCAGCTCCGACTCATCATATAATGGCATCGGCTGCACCACGATGCAAAACAACGCCACGCAAACGTCGGGACGCGTCCTATCGCCTGCGAATCATAGCTGAATCCAATCGGTAAGCCAGAATCGATATCGAACATAATCGATCGGATCGACGTGGGCCCCTCAAGGTAACATCTGACTCTCGGCAAGGGCTGCGTCATCCTCCTCCGGCTCCTTCGTTCCTTCTTCACAATACCAGACCTGCATCCTCTGCAGAGTCGGGATACAGTACGAGCGTGGGACTCAAAAGCAACATATACCCACACCCAGACGCAAATCCTCCTCTGCTTTTCCTGGCGCGATCCGCAAACTTCCACCATGCGTGATTTGAGCGTGTGCTGAGCAAGATGGGGAACCACTGGGTCATCAACTCCTGGCGGGCGCAATTCAAAACCGCAGGAGGAGTTGCCAATGTACTGATCTGGCATGTCTGACTGCATGATCAATCACTTCGCGAACCAACTATACAATACGTCGTGACTCGTGCAACACGTCAAGAACGGCAAGTTCGTTTCGTGACGACCTCAGCGTTTGTTGTTGGCACCACTTGTGTCGATGAACTTTGAACTATCGGCGGCTTTCGGGCAGCACCGATCGTTCTATATCTGCCGGTTCTGGGCCACTGGCGGCGTTCAACCTTGAACGCACGCGGCGGGGTTGCACATGCAACAAGAACGTCGTGTTCGGACCAACGTGCAAAACATTCAAAAGTTCAAAAGGCATGCGAACCATCCGTGCCAACCGCTCCACACCAAGTTGGCCCATCACGCGCACGTTCGAAGAATTTGGCTCGGATTGCATCTGCAATTTCTGTAGACCAACTCAAACGCTGCTGGCTTACTGACCTCACGATCAAGCCCACACAGGTCGAGGACGCGACTGATGAGAAGAGGGGAATCTGCAATCGAACCGAAACGCAGGGGATAATACAACAAATCCTTGAATTCACACTGAGTCAAAGGCAACCACTTCGAACAGACCACTCAAGCAGCCGAGGCATGGATCTCCTCACGTCCTGGCAACTGTGCGGCCCGGAGGAGTTGCGGCAGCGGGCCGGCAGCCAGGACCAGTCCACATCGAATCGGGAGCCTGCCAGGGAAGCCACGCGGCAGGTTGCGGAAGCCCTGCATCCAAAAGCGTTTGCATCTTCCGGGAAATCGACGTCTGGCTTCCGCCGCCTGCCGCCGGCCTTCCGCTGGCTTCCGCTGGCCGCGCCGCCCTCGTTTTACTTCCGCCGCGCCGCCTTCCTCCGAAGAAGAGACGGCAACTCCTTCGATCCTCGAAGGCGGGGCCCCTTCCGGAGCGCTCCACATCATACGGAAATTCACACGGCAGACCACGACCACACGGCAGACCACAGGGGGGAGACCACACAGAAGGCCACTCGGGAGACCGTCTGGAAGGCCACACGGCAGACCCTCCGCGGCCGCACGGGCCCGTTACGACGGGCCCCGCCGGCGGGGGCTCCATGAACTGCTTGTCGAACTTATCGATCGCCTTGCGGGTGGCGACATCCTAACCTCCTCCTCTTCCTCCTCTGCCTCCTCCTCTCCTTTATCATCCTGCTCCCCCTCCCTCCTCCACCCTCCACCTCCTCTCCTCCCTCCTCCTCCTCCTCCTTCTTCCTCCTCCCAAGCCTGCCCCCACCAGCCATCGATTCTCCTGAATCGACGGGCGGCGGGTGTAAGGCTCGGATTTCGCCACGTGTGCGACGAACTCCGAACCCTACCCCCGCCGCCCATCGAGTTGCCCGAATCGTGGATCGGCAAGGGTAGACTCCAAATTTCGCCGCCGAACCTTGGGCACCGGCGACTTGCGCAGGGAGCCCAACCACTCCATGAAGAGGAAGCCGGCCTCGCGGTGCGACGTGGCGTTGCGCAGGAAGTTCGCGTACTGCAGAGTCAGGGCCGGGCTCTTCCCGACCGCGGTCAGAAGAACTGCCGATACATCGCGATACATCGGCAAGAGATCTGCGATAGGCCCACGAGAACGAGACAGCGCATTCCTGGGTGGGGCGGGCTATCGGGCCCCTATCGGCGATCAATGGGCGATTGGGAGCCGATGCAGCCCTCACGAAGCCTAACGTGGAGGAAGAGAAAAGGCACAAGCATACACGTTCGGTGCTCCGCACGGATCCCTTGGATCGGCACTTGGCCCCCCTCCCTGGCGCGCGGAGTGCGCCAGGGGCGGCGCTGGAGCCACCGCCAGTGAAGTCCAGCGCCGCCCATGGGTCTGGGCCCGGGTCTCAACGGGTCCTCCTCAAGGAGAAGTGTGGGGACTTGAGGGGAAACGTCAGGGGTGCGCAGAACCAGACAAGATTAGCATAAACAGGAACTTTCGGTGCGCCGCGTGGATTTCTTGGATCGGTGGTGGACCCCGCTGGCGGTGCCTCTGGCGCCGCCCCTGGCGCGCTCCGCGCGCCAGGGAGGGAGGTCCAGCGCCGATCCAAGAAATCCGCTCGGAGCTGTGAGGTCCTCGTCGTCCTCATCGTCCTCATCCTCCTGATTCCTGATTCCTGACGGCTGAAGTGATCCTCGATCGCAGCCTCCCCCCCCAGGGCTCGGTCGGGCCTGAGGGGGTGATCCAACTTTACAGCCAGGGCACTGGTGTGACCGGCTGTGGCGACGAGATACGCAATGGTAATAAATGACAGACAGACAGCGACAGGGGGAGAAGCAGGAGGGGGAAGGAACATACTCATCTCTCGTCGTGGTCCTCCTCCTCCTCGTCCTCCTCTTCGTCGTGATCCTCGTCGTTGCCGTCGTCCTCGCAGTCGTCCGCGCCGTCGCAGACCCCGAGGAGGTGCGGCTGCAGCGCAAGGCACGGGACCGAACCCCGCCTGGCCTCTGCATGTTCGGCCACCCATCGACGCCTCCGCGCTGGCTCGCAGGATCCTCCTCAATGGAGCCTGTGAGTTGATTATTCGCGATAACGGGCGTGATCGGGGGAGGGGGGGATTGTCCCCCTCGATCACATCACGGCGTGGGGCCCCAGGAAATCTTAGGAAGTCGTCGAAGACGATGTGGGAAATCTGTGCTCGTGTGGGCAAGCGGTAAAATAGCGTGACGTGATCCAGGGGAGGAAGGAAAAGGGGCAGTCACGGCCGTCATCGCCCAGACCTTCAAACAACAGGCTCATGCTCCTACACCCCTTGCGCCCCGTCCGCCTCGATCATCCATTAGCCTCAGCCCTGCTCGCAATGTCAGAAATCCGGTCTGCATCGAATCAGGGAACCGGGTAAGATCGGAACGTGCGTCGAGTCGGGCCGCGTCGGAAAGGAGCCATGGTCGAATCGGATCGGCCGCGCCAGGATGTGCAACAACGCCATGTGAACATCGGGGCGCATCGGATAGTCGGAATACCAGAATCGGATCGGGCTGGCCGAAATCGATATCGGATCGGATCGACGGGACCTAAATGACCCTCGTCCGCCTCATTCCCTCCTGCTCCTCCTCGAGCGGTCCTGGGGCTTCAGGATCGCATCCAGGGTGATCAGCTCGCACATCGTCATGCCCACCTGGTCGCGAAGGATCGGTAGGAGGGGGAATGCGGACAGGACGAGGACGATGAATGGGATCTGGAGGGCGTGCATGGACGAACCAGCGGAAATGCAGGAGGGTGAGGAGAACCTCTCATCTCTCCACGTTTGGGCGTTACCCTGCCAACTTGTCAGAAACTTCCTGTGGGTTGGGCTTGTCCCATGTCTTGCAATCTGGATAAACAAGACACTCTAGTCTGATGCACCCCGCTGCCTCCTTGATCATCGATCACCCCCGATCCTCTTTGATCCTCCCCCACAATCCACGAGCCTCGTAAAAACTTTCGACCCTCGATCTCCCTCGATCCTCTATCATTCTCGACCGCCTTCCAAGAACACCGACCAAACACCTCGTCGATCCTCTACCCTTACTCATCATCAATCCTCCCAGGGGGAGGGGGAGCAGCCTCGAATCACCAGCCTCCTCGCCTCGATCATCGACCGCAGCCAGTCATCATCCAGACACGCCGCAACATCACAGCATCAGCCAGCATGAATCGGGAAAGCAGCCGACCCTCAGGGTCGCGCGTCGTGGGAGATGTTGCCTCTCCCCCAGAATTAGCACGGGGGAAGCGGGTCTTGAGGGAGACAGATCCTGGATCCCGGGGCATTTCCCGGAAACCGGCTCTGCATCCTGCATCCTTCCCTGACGGTCCCGGGGGGGCCCGTGGAGGACTCCGGGAGGCCGACAGTGGCGAGAAGCACCAGGACCCGCTTCCCCCATATCGGCAAAGGACCTCCCCAGGAGACCGTTTTTGTTGAATCGGCGATAACCCTGGTTATCCGGGGGGGGGGAGGAGGGGTCGGCCGATAAACTAATCTTCGCACTGTGGGCGGCCCTGGCACATGCCCGCGCCCCACCACCCCGGACCTGCACAACCGGCAAGGTCACGTTATCCTGAGGGGGGGGGAGGCAGGAGGGGGCAAGCCCGATAACAGAGGTTATCGCCGGACCCTAAACAAAAACAGTCTCCAAGGAGTTCGGTCTGGCCGGTGGGGGGGAGGGGCGGGGCAACACTGCCGGCGGTGCCCACGGCCCCGGCCCCGCGCCCAGAGGGGCTCCGACGGCTCTGGCATTACGTCCGCAGCCTCCAGGCTGCCTCGCAGTGTGCTCCGCGGGGCCCCGCGTGGCCCGAAGAGATCCCCTTTGGTCTGGGACCAGCCCTGGCAACCTCGAGGATGTCTTTTGAAAACTTTCGGGCGTCCCCGTCGAAGGCCCCGATGCGCGACAGCCGTCGCGTCCTCCAGGGACGGCTTACAGGTTCTGTGTATTCTCTTTTTACTTCTCCAGGCGTCCAAGACCGGCTCAAAGGCCTTCAGGATCGACTCAAGACTGGCCAAGGGGCCCCGAAAAGGTCCCCAAGACGCTCCAGACGGCCCAAGATGCGCCCACGACATCCCCACAAAGGACCCCAAGAGGGCCCCAAGGTAGATAGCCTCAGATGGCACCAAGACGGTCCAAGAGGGGCACCAAGACGCCACAAGACGGCTCTTGATGATGCCTCCTCTGCGGCCCCGCCGTGCAGGACAGGGCGGCAGCGCGCGCTGCGGCGGCCACGCTCCAGACGTCCAGCGCGGGGCTTGCGACGATGTAGGCCTTGCTCCGCGGGGTGGGTAGGAGGGGGGGCGAGGAGGAATGGAGGCGGAGGGAGGGAAGCCAGCTGCAGGCCATAACTCTCTTGCCCCCCACTTCGTGATGCTTTCGACTTCGAATGGACCGAACATGATGGGCCAAGCTCGGGGATATACGACGGACGGGGCGGCCATCCTCGATATGGGTGCGTACGGATAGACCCCTGGTGGTGTATGGTTGGGCTTTACAAATTATCTGAGCTGCCTACTGTTTCAGGTGGAGCTCGGCGTTGAGGGGCGAGAAATCGGAGGTAGAGGGGTATGGAGCGGGGGAGGGACGGAGGAGGGAGGGAGAAGGGAGGGAGGAGGGAGGGAGTAGGGAGAGGGAGGGGATTAGTCCGCTTACTGAACTCAGATCACCCTACTGTCGAGTTCGTGGTTTGGTGGGGTAGCAACGGATTAAGTGGGAGCGGCCATGACAGCGGCGGGCGACAGTCGAAGTGGTGGCAGTGCCCTTGTCAGGGCGTCAGGGCGTCGTCAGGGCTGGAACTCGAAAGGCAAAAGATCAAGTGCAGGAGGTGCGGGCTTCAGAGGAACTTCGCGGAGTCGTTCGGGATGTGTGTCTTCGGGGCGGGAGATGCGCAGAACGAGAAGGGGGAATGAGCAAAGTCCGATGCCAAGCGCAGCACTTTGGCGAATTTTTGGCCAGAACTCCCCTCGGCATCACAACCACCAGTGCAGGCGTCGCGGGTGCCAGGCTCGGGTGGCCAGCCTGCGGCAGCACATGCTACTGCCAGGGCATGCGTGCTGACAGAGGGTGGAAGATGATCATCATCTGTTGCGGAAGAAGTTGGAACGATACGGGAGCGCGAGCAAGTTCTGGAGAACTTGCCCACAGGCGAGAGGTACCAGGGTATCCCGACAATTCTCACCAAATAAAATCATTGTCTACAAGTGGGCCATTACGCTGCGAGATCCGTTAGCAACTCTCCTCGCCAACGGCAGAGTTGGCTCGTGCGTGCGCGAGTGTGCGAGGGTGGCCTTCCAAGCTGGTCAGGACGAGCTCGCACGGGCCAGCGAGAATGTGGGAGTTGCTCCGCATTCGCAGCACGTCGTGCACGAAGTGAAGGGGTCGCCTGTGGTTCCGAGACAGGTTTGCGAGCAAGCAAGATCAGCCGTGCAACCTGTGCTTCGTCAGGGCATCCGGGAGGTGGCCGTGAGCGCGCGCACAGTGGTGTGTAATCTCAATCGCCTCAGCCTGCATTGAGAAGGTACGCGAGGGATCGGGGCATCGGGTCCTTGGACAAGGGCTCGACGGACGAGGGCCTCGCCGTCCTCGTCGGGGCACCGGCTGAAAGGGAGCACTTTCCAGGAGGCGCCGCAGCTGCCGTTGCCGCCCAACTCCTCTGCTGAGGCTGAGCGCGCGCCTGTCCCCATGCCTGCTGAGGGGATGCCGGGTGGGAGTGTACAGATGACCCCTTCCCGTCTCCCGAACAATCTCATTACTAGTCTTACTCGTGTTATTCGTACTTCGCCCTTTCCTACGCAAGAATATCATCGGAGCGTCTGCTGATACAGTTAACGCTTGTAAGTTGTAGGACAGGGGAGAGCAAATAACGAATGCAAGTGTGCATGGTATCAATAACTATGGCTTCGACTTATTGAGTGTCCGCGTCCAATTGCTTGAAATACGATTTGACGCAGCGTGCCTCGACATCATTGGCGTGCAAGATATGCAATTGTCGCACATGGTTTGGGCAGTGTGTATGACCGAAACAATGCATTAGCTCATCCGGGTGGCAATTGCGGCACGCAAGTTCGCATGGGGAAACAACACTTTTCGCGTCCACGATTAGGTGCCGCACACTCCCCGGCTTCTTGAGGCTGTGGTCGAGGTCAGCGGGTTGACCCAACTTGTGCATGTTGTCGCAAGGCTTGTTCCTCACGATGGGGCTGCCAATGAGGCGAAACTCGTTTTAGGGGATCATGCCGGTCATGTTATCAATGCCGCGCATTCGAAAGGTCATCTAGTATTGTTGCTGTCCGATGCAAATGCTAACGTTCGTTCTGTTACCAACCATGAGATCGGCGCGCTCGAAACAGGGACAGAAAACCATAATGGCCAACTTTTCCGCGCATGTCTGGGTGCTTGAGGGCTGTGGGCTGTGAACTCAATTTTGGCAGGGCACACTTGGACGTCGTCCTGGGGCACTACCCACGTAATCGATTACGTGTACCTTCCGCGCCACAAATTGCACAACGTTGTTGAGTGTTGCGTTACTCACATGGTGTGCCTAACGAGGGGATGCAAGGACGATCGCCGGCTTGTGCAGGTCACCTTACACTTGACAGCCGAGGAACAGATGAACGTCCCCCCTGGCTATAGGCATCGTTGCTTCTTCAACGAGGATGCATTGAAAAATCCCTGCTTGTTTGAAAGGTTCCCATATGGCATTTGATTATTCCGGTTTTCTGACCGTCAAGATGTCCAGAGGTGTCGCAGTGACCTTCCTGAGTGCATCCAGAAACAAGCGAAGCAAGAGTTCGGGCCACCTGAGAGGAAGCCAAGGCAGGCGTGGATCTCCCAGCGCACATTCGAGTTTGCGGCCTTTGGGGAGGTGCATGCATGCGTTGAGAGGTCGCGCGCGGTTGCTGCTTGTGCTCGTGTATGTTCATGCTTGGCCCTCTGTATTCCCGTGCCGCTTTGCACCTGTCTGCCAAAGATGCGATGGCACGCCGCGCAGAATCTCTTGCGTACCATGCTGCTGTGATGTTGCATTCTGCGGCGGCCCTCACCGTTAAATTTGAGAAGCGATCTCTCTTCATTATCCTTGCCTTCAATGTGAGCCGTGCGTGTGGTGATCACGACAATCTTAAATATTCATCATTGTTGCCAAAACGGCAGGGGCGCGGTCTAAACCGCATGTTTTGATGGAGGGCGGATCCGTTCCTCAATCGGCCGAACAGATGGTGGGCGTGCGGCGTGAGCAACGCACATTTTGCGAAATTCCCAAATTCTCTGTCACCTAAAACGCGTCGTTGATGGGCCGTTTGAAATACATCTAAGGAAATTTATCGTGGCCAACAACAAGCCAGAACTTCATTGTGAACTCAGCATCGACGGCATCGGAGCAGCCCTTTTGCAAGCACAGGGTGTCGCAGCGGCTGTGCAACAAGCGAAGCTTGCAAAGTCTGTTCTTGCCCTCGAGGAAATGCCCCTTCAAGACAAGGGGGGGGCCACGGTCAAGCTATATAAAAGCAAGGGTGACTCGCGCGATCTCGATCGTTCGCGTGGCTTGGCGATTGTGGACCACCGTGCAAAAGCATTCACTCCCCAAGCAGGGTTTGCACTCACGGTTTCTTGCTTCTGTTGTAAGGAAACTGGGACGTGTCTTCGGTCTGGCGGCTATGTGGCCGCCGTCGCCGCCAGGTTGCTGCCTTGTCGCCGCCCCGAGTTCTTTTTTTGGGCAGACAAGAATTTATTATACCCCCCCACCTCCTCGGACTTATCGCCCCCCATGAAGAAATTGAATTTACATATGATCCTGCCTCGTTGTGCATTTTACCAACGACCTCGTACCATCCTAGCCAGTGGTACCGACCACCCCACCTCATCCCCTGCAACACAATACTACACGCGCGCACTCGTTTTCAAGAAA